TGCACCACCACACACAGGAGTCACTGTGTTATATTGCCCCTCAGTGTCACCCATCTGTGAATGTTCACCAAATAATCTCATTACTCTAAATGAGTGCTGCATAAATACTTTGCAATCAGGTGTAACACAGATAAAGTTATTTATAAGGTTTTAGGAACTCTATCTCTGCCTGTTCTCTGTTGTCCTGAGGAAGATAGCCCATTTCTCTTTAGATCCTAAGTCCTGTACATGGTAGGCTGCAGTGGCTCTCAAATAGCCTATATTAGAATCACTTACACAGCACAACTTCCTTGATTTTAGATTTATAAGACTAGAGTGAGGACTGATATCCAGTTCTCAGGGACTGCTCTCTGAAAAGTGTTGGTGTAGCAGTTAACAGAACTGTATCTAGGGCTCATTACCACCACTATTCCCCATGCAAGTGATCTTAGACAATTTAACCCCTCTTCCTTGCCTCTAAAATAATGAGATCTATTTCACAGGCTGTGTCCCAATTAAATGATGTACCACACATAAGGAAGCAAACACATAAGGTCAAGCTCACATAATAACCATTATGATGGGCTGCCTGTCCTATACAAACATGCCTGAAGTATATTTACTTCAACAAATACAATAGAAAGCTATTCTTTCTCCGTGCTTCTCATTAGGTGGAGCTGCATCTGTGTCATGATCCTGGCTTTGCACAGTGCTTCTCCTAAAGGACCTTCTCCAGGACAATCTGGTTGGACACTCTGGGACAGACTTTTGTCCTACATGAACTAAGACACTTTCTTTCTTGAATATTTATTTTTTATGTTTATGAGTGTAGATTTAAGTGTGTGTGCATCTATGTGGAGGCCAGGGGATAATGGTGTGTCATCCTCAGAAATACTATTTCCAGACATCATCAAACAGCACAGACAGAACAACCATCCTATCTGGGGAATGGGACTTTTAGAAGCTCTACTGTTCATAAAGCTTTTTGGCCTCTGCTACATTTTCTGTTTGATTATATTTATCTGCAATTTGTTCTCACTGTGAAGATCAGGCTGGCCTCTAACTCAAAGCAGTCCCCCTGTGTCAGCCTCCTCACAGCTGAGCTTGTGGCACTATGCCCCTTTCTGTCTTTTTCCTTGCCATGTTCCTTCTTCATTTTTTCTCAGCATAGTGACAGTTTGTCTCCTTTTTGAAACTTCAACAGATGCAATTTTGCTTCCTGCACTGCCAGTGAGAGTCAACGTTCCTTTTGACTTCTCCTTCAAGTCCCTTCCCGCTGTATTAGCAAGTGTTTTAAGTACATTCTCATATGAGTGAGTGTCTCTAATTTGAAATTTTGGGAAAACGAATGTAATAGTTCTGGTTTGAGTCAAGTGCACAGGAGACTTAATATGGTCTGTGACCAAAAAGTGTTTGTAAAATATGGGGACATGGGCTAACCAATGTCCCTAATCTTTTACCCTTAGTAAGGAGAAAAAAAAAATTTGTCTTGGGATCAGTGGTTTTCAACCCATGGGTCATGACCCTTAGGGGTGGGGATGGGGAAGTCCAACTATCCTTTCACAGGGTCACCTAAGATCATACAACACAGATATTTACATCACGATTCATAACAGTAGCAAAGTGACAATTAAAATAGAAGAAGAAGAGGAAAAGAAGAAAAAGGCTTGTAGAGATGGTCCAGCAGGGTTAGGCACTTGTGCACTGAAGCCTGATAAAGGAGTTCTATTCAGGAATCCTTATGGTGAAAAGACAGGCATGACTTTCACAACTTGTTTTCTCACTTCCACATGGGCACTGTGCTAATAAATAAATGAATAAAGTAAAAATTTTAAAGAGTGGATGGCACACACAGACACATGCACACCCCACAAGAAATGAGGGAGAAGAAAAAGGGGAACAGTAAGATGATTCAGTGGATAAAAATGGGTTACCACACAAGCCTGACAATCTGAGCTTGCTCTTGTGAACCCATGGAAAGAAGCTAATGCATCTGCAATCTCAACATTCCTATGGCAAGATGGGAGATAGAGACGAGAGAAAAACCCGGAGGCTCTCAGGAAAGCTAGCCTTGGTACACAGTGCAGCCCAAATAAGAGACAACCTGTGTCAAGATGGTAGAGGAGAATTTTCCACCTTGGTTTTAGACCTCATTATGTGCACCACAGTGTGTGCAAATTAAAAACAAAACAAAACCAAACAACTTAAGAATTGGAAGAAGGGAGTAGAAAGTGGTGAGAGACAAGGACTTTAAGCAGCTGCAAAGGAAGTATTTTGTAGCCTCTTCGCTTTGCAATGTTACCTTTGTTGTTGCTATTTCTGCTTTTTAGCTGCCCTTCTCATTACTGGGGAGAGACAGCAACAAAAAGCACATTTAACCCTACAATATGAGAATTCTTTTCATTGGGCGTTTCAGGGAAAAGATCGGAGTTAGTCAAAGACTGGGAAATTACATGACAGGCCTCAAACTCTACAACAGGCCGCTGATGCCTTGAGTTAAGTTTCATGCTTTACCACTTTGTGCAGACTGGCTTCCCACTGCTTGCGATCCAGAACCGTGCCCTCCATTTATAGGACATGGATTTAATGACTGAATGTTCACGGTGAGCTTATTTTGGGTTATGTAGGTATTCACCCATGGCTCCTTGTTCTCTAAATGAATGATTAATCCTCCATGGTATTTTCCAGGTGCTAATAAATATGACTTGTGTTTTAGTCCTAGTTCCTCATCTCTGACCTATGAAAATCACTTTTCTACTCTTTCTTCTCAACTGCCCCTACCTTTCCGTCCCCCTCCCCTTCTCCTTAGACTGTTTGCCTGGATAGTTAGATTTGTCTCAGTCTCACTATATACTCCAGGCAGGCCTACAACTCACGAGCTTTCTGCTTCAACATTACAACTGCTAGGATTACAGGTGGCCGCACTCCTCTGACATGTTTTCTTTATTCAGAAACTCCCAAGGCACCAACTTTGCTCATTCTGTAGGATTCTAAGGGGTGTGTGTAGTAAATACCTGTTAAGTACTACTTTCAAGTACTGTGATAAAAATGTAATTACACCGATTATTAATACTTCCAAGGCAACTAGTTTGGAGATACCATTTGTATTTTATTGTGAAGAATATTGACGCTGAGAAAAGGCAAATACTAGTGTCACATACAGAGTAGTTGAATCAGCTTTTGAGTCCAGATGTATCTAGCAGCCAAGACTATTTTACTGTTTGGCCTGCTGTGATCTGCTTCTTAATACATTTACTGTATTCAGTAAATGTAAATTTCAAGAATTAAAATACCTATTTTTTTTTAGTATTCCCCCCCACCCTGACACACACACACACACACACACACACACACACACACACACACACACACCAGGTAGGGTATTCTCACTTTTCAATTATTCTTACTTGGGATGTCATTTTCTGTCCTACACCATTTGGCACATTGCCTCACCGCCCTCAGAGTGCAGTGTGTCATGTCCACAGTAATTGGCATTCCATGGAGAGTCTCCAGCTCAGTGCAATTTCCTGTTGTTGTTGTTGTTGTTGTTGTTTTAAACCACTTCTGCATTCAGGGAAACTAAAGTTTGATCATTTTATCCCTTAGGCATCAGACAGCCAGAGCTACACAAATGAACCCTGTCTCGAAAAACAAAAAACCAAACAACAACAAAAACATTCAATAGATAGAATTGCTGAAGAAAACCCAAACTGAAATGAAAAACTCAATACACACATACACATACAAAACAAACCCAAAAACCAACTAACCAAACAAATAAAAACCTCAGTAGAAATCCTCACCCATAGAATGGATCATGTTGAAAAAAGAATTAAGGCTGGAAAACAAGGAATTGGATAATCAGTCAATGTTTAATGATAATTTTTAAGAAATACATGAACAAAACATGGGAGCATCTGGGGACACCATAAAAAGGCCTCACCTTTGAACTATGGGCATAGGAAAAAATAAAAGAATATCATAGTGAAGTCATAGAGAATAATTTCAACAGAATCATATAAGAAAAAATTTCAAACCCCGAGAAATAGATGGCTATCCAGGTTAAGAACAAAACAGGTCTATCAAACTTCAAATAGGCAAGCCCAAGAAACTGTTCATGACATTAAAATACTAAAAACACAAAATTAAAAAAAAGTATTAAAAGCTACAAAAGTGAAAACACAAATCATTTGTAAAGGCAGGCCCATCAGAACAGCACTTGATTATTTAACGAAACCTTTAAAAGCCAGAATGGTGTGGAAAGATATACTCCAAGTTCAGAATGGTCAGGCTCCTATTCTACCCAAAGACTGATTAAGCACAGCCTGCACAGCAGGATCCCATTGACTAGGCATAACTATTAGCTGGGTTTGGGATCCAGCATATGGTTAAGTTTGAGGGAAAAGTGGAATATAGTGCCAGGAATCCTGGAAATGTGCTATAAATCTTGGCTACTTTTAGCCAATAATCCTGGTGCTCATTGTATGGAACCCAGAGAGGCATAGTCAGATCCCCATTGAAGCTGCTGGTCTGACACAAGGTGTTTAGAGAATGAATTACATTTCTTAGCTTTTGGGCAATGGGATGAATAGCAATAGTGCATTTCACTGTTTCCTGGGAGTGTATGTTCTTGACATGGCCATGGAATGTGTATACATTATATTTATAAATTAAACTCATAGAAATGTCATCTCCATCTCAGCAATTTAAGACTGGTTTAGTTTCTGTAAGCTTTTTAATCTAGTTATATTTACAAATGTTTTTTCTAATATTATTAAGAAACTTGGAACTATAAAATCTAAATCATCACGGGAAACAATAAATTACACCTCAGTTACAGGGAAGATAGTTCAGAAGCTAAAAAATATATTTTGATTTATTCTCATGAAAGATTTATTTAAGATAAGTCCAATATATCTAAAGGATTAGAACACAAATATATAAAGGACATACACTAAAAATGGAAAATATTAGGAGATCTGTATGTGTCTGTATTCTCAATCAATAGACTTGAAGATATTTTTGTTTTGCAAGTCACACATTTTATTACAAATTTATTTTGTGCCCAGTAGAAAAGCAAATTTTGAATCTATTTACAAGCACTATGTATTTACATATATTATATACAATTAATGCATTTAAAGAAAATGGGCAGAGAAACAATATATTTGGAATACACCACTGTACATGGTTTATTATCATGTTCTTTAATGTCACCTACTGCAGTTCATCTACTGCAGTAATAAATACAATTCTATATGTACACATCTTATAAAACATCTCATAAATGTATTTTTAAAAAAATTCCACATTAAAACATCTGATCAAAATAAAACATGCTTATATAAAAATAAATCTACCTAACAGCCTTTCCATTTGGGTGCAGTGAAGCGAGTGAAGGCTCACAGAAGTTAAGAATAAACCCTTTCACTTTTCAAATTCAGCAATTTAACACCCATCTAACACCTGTGTTAACATGGAATAAGCAGGGAAGCAATGTTCATGTCAAGTGGTTGCTCCAAAAAGGACACAGCTAAAACCAAGCTAAATAGAAGAATAATACTTTGCCCAGCTTCTGCTGAGTCCAAAGTGCTGCGAGGCATTGTTGCTAGCACTGCAGGAGAGGGCTGTGTGAAGTTACACAGTGGACTCATGTCCTGCATTTGAGCATCTTACAATGCAACACCATTTGCGGCAATGATAACGTCTTGCCAAAAGCATGGCCCCACTCAGAAACAAACACAAGTCCCACAATTGTTCGCTGTCTTTCCTAGGTACACCCACCGTTGGCAATGAACTTCCTGTGTTTCAGACACCAGAAATTTGAAAATGAATCAGATAGGTCAAATTTTACCTAGATGTAATTGCTTTAGGAACAATTTAAGTTAATTTTCCTTTCAAAAACATTGCAACCAGTTTTGTTTCATCAGGAGAGAATGCCTTGAGTGCTTATTTATAAAACCTAGTATGTTACATCTATATATGAGTCAAAAATGTCTCACATTATCCGTCCAAGAAACTGGGTGTCTTGGAAGGACCCTTTCAGACAAAAGGCAAAAAGATACAAAAGCATCTCTGTGTGGCCATTAAGATGAGACCCTGTGGGCAATGGAGCCTATTAAAAAATCCTTACTTTTCCTTAAAACTCTCACCTTTTAAAAAAAGGAATTTGTGGATTTAAATACACCCATTGAGTCATCACTAGTGACTATGCTGGTGAAACACACCCATAGCCTACCACTAGTAACTGTGTTGGTGAGTTTCAAGAGAATACACTAAAAACCAGAGGGTTTCTGTTTTGAAGAACATTTCAAACTGCTTTTCTATATTGGGATCAGCCAAGTAACTTGATGGATTTTCTTCTTAGCTGAACAAATTGTACAAGCAGTGTTTAGACTTATCATTCTCAAGTAACAGGTACCAGCTTTTCCATGCTAATGAGATGTCTATGTGTGTGTGTCTGTGTGTGTCTTTGTGTGTGTGTTTGAGACAGAGTTTATCTGTGTAGCCCTGGTTGTCTTGGACTTGATTTATAAACAAGGCTGGTCTTGAACTCACAGAGATCCGCCTGCCTATGCCTCCCAAATGCTGGGATTAAAGATGTGTACCACCACAGCCGATGTCTACTTGTGTGTTAAGCCAGGTTTTAGCTCAGATTTTTTTTTTTAAGCTACTGCTCTGATATAAATTGTTTTTCAGGTTTACAACTTTTAAAAACTTTCCTCTCACATATTAACTAGAGACAAGGAACAAATGCTACTGAAGAAAGGTGACAGCTTTCAGTCATTGGATAAGCTGGTGTTGACCCAGAATTGGAAGGCAAGTCATAGGCTATGCTGGCATGGGTAAAGGCTACCAAGGCTTGGGTTGAGTCACAGGACCGTTTCTCAACATCGTCAGAGTTTAGGGACAGCAGACTTGGGTGTTTTGATCTTGTCCAGAAATGGGTTTGCTTTCCCAGGCTGCCCATATCCTCCTTAAAATGGGGGTTGAAGACAATGTAGAGAAGGGGATTGAGACATGCAGGGAGTGGGGCAACCACTAGAAGTATAAACTTAATTACTTCGGGACTGATAAACGTGAGGTTTAGCAAAGAGGAGAAGGATAAGAAAGCCACAGGGCAGTAAAGGATACAGTTGGTGAAGAGCAGCAGGGCAATGTGCTTCACCATAGAGCAGTCCCAAAGATTCTCCAGATCTCCTTTCTCCAGATTGCAGTAGAGCTTGGTGTAGGCAATGGTCATTATGAGGAAACACAGTGAGTTGAGCAACACAAGAGCTACCATGTAGCCTGTGGTGCTGGGCTCCCCAAAGGGCAAAGGCAGGCAGAGTGGGGAAGCATTGTACTCACTGCCTCCTAGCAAGGGGACCGTGGCAATGGTCAGGGCCAACAGGATGCACAGCAAAATGATTGCTTTCAGGCTAGAAAGGGGAGTTTTCATTTCAAACTTTGAAGGACACTTGACAGAAAAACCACGTTCCAGTGCTGCCAGAGTGAGCAGGAAGACGGATGATTCGGAAGCAAAAATGGACAAGAAACCAACGACTTGGCAACCAAGGCCGTCTTCCCACCATGCACCCTGCTGAGCGAAACTACCGAATGTGAACGCATCCACACCAGCCAGCACAGCACTGGGGACTCCCATGACCATGTTCACTACTGCAATCACCCCAATTAGCAGTTTTATGGAAGAGATGTACAGAGGGGCTCTGAACACTGTCCAGGTCACCAAGGCATTGCAGGAAAGCGCCAGCACTGCTGCAGTCCATACTCCGGTTCTGATCAGCCAGCTACCAAACAGGTGCTCACAGGGCTTGAAGGGACCTGAGTGTGGAAGCAAGAGAGAGGCTGTATCACATTGGGTTGACTGATGTACCAAACGTGCGATGAGACAGAGCTCAGTAACAGGCATCGTAACCACAGTGCCCGCATGACATGCTCCTCTTTCTTAAGCCAGGGAGACGACCACCTTGGACATTCTACAGCATAGACCGACAGATGCCCCAGGTCCATGCGTTCCCAGGTTCTTGTGTTCCCAAAGGATATATATCGAAAAATAAAACTGGGAAGCTTCAATCCCAAGACAGCAGTGTGGGCAGTGTGAAAAGCCAGATCATCTTGACTACTCACTAAGACTTTTAGAATGGCTTCTGTAGCTCCACAGTCCTGAAAAGAGACTCCACGGAAACAGTTCACATGCTACAGTGTGGGTAACAGGAGTGTACATTTTATGGAAATCTTAGGAAGCAAGGAACACGTTTATGGGGACCCTTTTTTTTTTTTTTGAATAGGACAGTTTAATGAACTGAATATTAAAAAAAAACCCCTCATCTTTATACTATTATTTTCACATTTTTTAAAAGACAGGGTCTCTCTACATAGCTCTAGCTGTACTGAAACTGTGTAGACCAGGCTAGCCTTGAGCTCAGTGAGACCACCTGCCTCTGCCTCCCATGTGTAGGGCAGGGACTAAAGGAATGCATTACCACACCCGACAAGGAAGGCTATTTCTTTTTTTCTTTTTCTCTTTCTTTCTTTCTTTCTTTCTTTCTTTCTTTCTTTCTTTCTTTCTCTCTCTCTCTCTCTCTCTTTATTATTTATACATTAGTCTGCCTGCATGCCAGAAGAGGGCATCAGATCTCATTACAGATAGTTGTGAGCTTCAGTGTGGTTGCTGGGAACTGAACTCAAAGCCTTTGGAAGAAGAGCCAGTGCTCTTCTGAGACATCTCTCCAGCTCCCAAGTCAAGACTGTTGAGCATGTTAAACAATTCATTCTTGGGCTAAATCCCAGTCCCTAAATGGATATTATAAATCTAAATATACAAAGATCTAAGTTATTAAAATTTATTCATTATACAAAGCAAGACTATGGGTACTAATTCAAGTAGCAATATTGTTTTTTGTATATTACAAAGGCATATACATTATATATGCCTTTGAGTACATGCTAACTCTTTAGGTTATATCAACCCGAATCCACAGTTCCCCACAAAAGTTCTCTGTGTGAATGGAGAATGACTCTAGGGAGTTGAAGCTTGTGTTTTATAAGTTCTGATTGTCAGGGACAGTGATGAGTCACGAGGGGACAGAGATTTTGTTTCCTTTGGAAAAGCAGCCTCAGAGTTCAAGTTGTGCTAATACCAAAGCAGTTTCTGATGTCTTTCTCACCTGGAGAAGGTGAGCACTGCACTGAATGGAGGGCTTTCAGGTCTTCCTCAAAGTCAAGCAGGAAATCTTCAAGGTCCCGCTCATCTGAAGGAATGAGAAATCCTGGAATGATTAGTTCTGTCTTTCTAGTCAAGGAACCTCATGAGGAGGGTCTTGAGTTACCCTCAAGACATGAATTGTACAAAGAGAAATGAAGGCAAGGCTTGGCAGGTCAGTTAGAAAGGTCCTTGTTGATGTTCTATTCAATCTACTCTGTCCATGCTCCAGCATAACTGAGGGTGAGGAGGAATGATCCCGCACTCTAGGTTAAAATACCTAAGTCCAGCTGGTCTCGGGGGCAAATGCCTGCAAACCCAGCTCTCGGGAAAGCAGAGGCAGGTGAATCTCTGTGAGCTTGAAGCCAGCCTGGTCTACAAAGTGATTCCAAGACAGCCAAAGCTATGCTGAGAAACCCTGTCTCAAAAAACCAAGGCCTCTGATTCTTTTGTTCCCTGGAGCTTGTGATGGTCTTAAATTTCACAGACCTAAATCCAGTGCAGAAACCACATTTTATCCAGTTTTCTAGGGACTGGGGATGTAGCTTAGCAGTAGAGTAAATGAACATGTTCAAAGTTTGACATCCAGCGTCCCTCAGAACCCCGCTTTATGATGGAGGGAGGAGTGACCCAATTTCCTACAACTGCAATAGCTCCAGTACAAAGGTTCTAGGCTACTATCTCTGGTCACAAGGTGGAAAATCAGTGTTGGTGTTCCTTGGGGGATTCTGAACTACAAAAGGCAAAGCAGTGATGAGGTGCTTGGTTTAGAAAACTATCAAAAAAAGGGGGGGGGAGTTCTAATTTAATACATGTTTCCTGATATACATTTTCTTGGTTTTGTGTAAGATTTGTGCTTCAATATTCTCTCTGTCTCTCTCTCTCTCCTCTCTGTGTGGGTGTGTGCACATGAGCGTGTGATCACTCAGAGGAACATATGTGGATGTTCCAGGTAGGTGTTGGGATGCTCAGGCACTTTCCTTCTTCATCTTCTGAGACAAGGTCTCTCACTGCATCCAGAGCTCACTCATTCAGCTGGGCTGGCTGATCATCTGGTTATTTCCTATCTGCATCTTTCAACGCTAAGATTACAGGTGCCAGCTGCCACATGCCACTTTTTTCTTTTTTAATGTGGGTGTTGGAGGTCTGTAATTGGCACTCTTTTTTTTACTCACTTGGCCACCTCCCCATCTCTGGCCTCACTAATTTCTCAAAGTCTTTGTTGTTATCTTGATGTGCGGCTTCTGGTTGAGAATCACTGAGCTTGAAAATAAATTCCACAAAGGACATTAGTGCTATTAGGTAGTCCCAGGGGCTGATGTAGTGTCTGGAACATAATGGGCTCTACATTTTAAAATTCTTAATTTTTAGTGAATAAACCCAGGCAAGATTAGAGTTGATGGGGCAGGAAGAGGCAAAACTAAAAGAGCAAGGTTGTGTGACCTAAAACAAACAAAGAAACAAAGAAACAAGCAAACAAGCCTGTTTGTTCCTTCAACTCTGATAGGTGTATGGACAGGTTAAGGAAACTTGAAGACAGGCTGAATTACATTTGGGAAATCAACAAACCACTAAGGCCCTAAGAATGAGAAACTGTTCTGTTAGACCCTGTGGGAACTCGCAAGGCTGGCAGGGAGTGCAGAAGGTGCTGCCCAAGGCGCCTCTTCCCACAGGTGTGGTGGATACATTGCTTTCTGCTTAAGTAACGTCTTACTGCAACCAAAGCCAAGGGCCCTACAGACATGATCTCATTCCACCTTCCTGACAGATACCCCTGTGGGGGACTAGAAGAACACAAGTTAGAATTAGTTGGTTGAGAAACTGAATTCTTAGGCCCTTCTGCTGAAATACGGAGGAATTAAAAAAAAAATGTCTGTCCACCCACCCCCTTTCTCCAGGCCCCCAAAATAAGCATGGACTTTTCTCATTCAGAGAAAGAAGTACAGAAGGATATTTGAAAAAAAAAATGATAAGATACTTTAAAAAATGTATGGAAATATTGATACAGTAATGACTATTGATATACTGTGTCTGCTAAGGAGAATCTAATTAAAATAAAAATGCCAAGATTTCAATAGGTGAATAGAATTCTTTCTGGTTTTGTGAGTTTTTACAAAGTAACGTTGTTCTCCATTTGCTGCTGTGATTACCCAGGGCCTCCTGAACTTTTGATAGTCTGTTTAATAACTTTTCAAGACCTGTCTGGCTACAATTTCCTTACCATGACAGTAGTTCTTACCTTGAACTTGAAATAACCCAGCATCTTTCTTATGAAGGTCGTCCACACTGCTGTTATCACCTTTACTCCACTGATTAGAAATTTTATAAACATTCTCACACACACCAAATGCACAACACTGGTAAGCATAAGGCATTTCTATAATCCTTTAAAGAAAAGAGACAAAAAAAAATACATACTTAAAAAAAAAGATGATTTATGAAATATAATGTTTATCTTTTTATCCAGTGATTCTACTTTTGGAGTTTAGTCTAAATCAATAGCCTGAGATATAAGCTATTTGTACAAAGGTATTCATTCTAATGATACTTAGAACCACAGTTATTAAAATTTACCATCATGAAATGTTTATAATTGTGGAGGTTGAGTGAGCTGATTTAAATGATCAAAAATTTCCACAATAAAATGGTTAAAAAAATGAATGGTCAGAAAATTATGGCAAACTTATGGTAAGTACTAAAATATGCCATAAATTTCTATGTATACTTAGATTCTAATAACTTAAATGATGTAAAACACAGCCTAGAAATAAACAACATAAAAATGTTGCTTAAGGTGGCATTTTAAAATATACTTTTCTCTTTTCCATACTCTCTTTTGGGGGCGTTATTACTTTCTTAGTTTTAAAAATACTCAAATAGTGTTGTGGTTTAATATACAGAACCTTTAAGACATTCCTGTATTGTTAATAAGCATGGCAGTTTTAAAGAGCACCGCTTCCTCTAACAAGCATTAAGTTAGTACATTTTATTAGAACATATACATGCTAGATGAATGCAAAATTGTAAACAGAAGTGCAGTACTGCTACAATGTTATTTAATTACATGGCCAGTATATATCCCATGGATCAATGCTTTTTAAACTCTTTCCACGAACTCTGTGATTCCAGGAAACATCTTTGAGAGGGAAAGGAAATTTGGTCAGGAAGACAGTTTCCTACTTTAGGCCTGTCCTAACAGTGTTCTAGGGGTGGGGACTGAGGGCATGAAATGCAATTCAGAAGGGTCTCATGACCTCATCAATTTAGAAGCCACTATAACATGTCTATTCTTTCACATGACCACAAATGTATCTTGTTAGTTTTAACGACAAACTCACTTGAGCTCTGGGAAGTTTGCCGACGGTATCAAGCTCTGTAAGGCAAGGTTCCCTGTTAATTTTAAGTGAGTCAAACCATGTAACCCAGTTACAGGGAAAGACGACAGGAAGTTGGATGATAGGTCCCTGCAAAACATCAAACAAGTAGCTTTTAGTAGTTTACATCGGCATAAAATGTTCCTGTTTACAAAAGCAGCCTAAAGACAATTAAACTGCTGAATAAAAGCTTCTATGCGGGCTCTTTACTTTTTAATGGTAAAGCTAACCGTTTCGGTTTGAGTTTCTGAATGCTTTTCTATTTGCAATCAGCACTGCAGGGACACATGTTTTAAGTGCATCAAAATTGTTCTATATTTGGCCTCATTTGACAAGTGGGGCCAACTAAAATCAAGGGGAAATACATATTTATTTGAAAAGTGATAGGAAGGAGTAGTAAAAAGCTTAGGAGTTTATTTCCCTCCTCCCCCTCTTCTGTCAGAGAGAGAGGAGGAGCGGGAGAGAAGAAATGAATTGTCATCTTATCCCATTCTGCCTGATTGCTCAGCAAAAATGGACAATTCCAGTTGGATAAACAGCCGCAGCTGTCACCCGCTCTTCAGTTATCCACAGAAGGGCTCTTCTGGCCCAGGAGTTTACAAAGTCACATTGTGCATGGGGGATGCGTGTGACTTCAAACAGCTACCATTTTCACTAACTAAACGGTTCCTAATTATTGAAAGCTATCTCATGAACAAGAAATGAAATAAACACTCACAGCTTTATCAGAGATGGCAACGTAGAAAACGCACTGGGGTGAATAATGGCAATTTTATTCCAAGCTAAGTTCCTATTTTGTTTAAGAAAAAAAAAAAAAAAAAAGACAAATGAAGAGGATTATGTTAAAAAGAACACATGGCATTTTATCACATCCAAAATCTACCAGATTTAATTTCTATTCATATGAGGAATAGCCAGCTCATCAAATTCTCCTTCAGATAAAGATGAGGTGGCATAAAAATGACTAAAGATAGAACTTTAAATCAACCCTGTTTGTGGTAATCCAGTAGATATTTTAGTTCTTATTCTCTTTTTGTTAAAAAAGTTGACTTTAACATGGATGTAAAACTTTGTTATGGCTTTTCTAAAATGAGTGGAGATAGTCTTTCTCTGACGAGAAAGAGCATTTGAAATTAGGAAATGATTCTGGAAACACGGTGCAACTCCACCCACAGTTTGTGCATGCCGCCTACACCTGTTAGACCCTGAAACATGTCTGTTTAAGAGATATTTGCAAGAAAATTCTCAGTAACAGATACAGGCAAGTCAATTCCTGACAGGGATATAAGCACAACAGGAGAAAACATACGTTAGAAATAAATAAAATCCTTCAAAGCAAGGAAAATATTTTAGGGAGAAATGAAATCTATCTGCCACACGTACATGATGAAGTAAATTTAGCAGAAATAAAATCGTTAGCAATATTCCAGATAGTTCTTGCTAGAGACAGGAACTTCCACATTTTTAAAAAAGAACAATGAATTTAAGACACCCCCCCCCCTTCCTTGGTGCCAGGGATCAAAGCCAGAGTCTTGCCAATGCTAGAAGAGGCTCTTCTACTGAGATTTTATTTATGAATGTCTAAGACATTCAGTAATATGTCTTAGATATTCAATTCAAATGTTGTCCACCATGTTCTTTTGAGACAGGGTCTCTTCTCACTGACCTTGAGCTTGCTTCATTGCACTGACCTAGCTGGCCAGTAAGCCCTGTCCCTGTCCTTCCAGTGCTGAGAGAACAAGCATGTGCGACTGTACCAGGCTTTTCACGTGGGTCTGGGAATTGAACTTGGGTCCTCCTGCTTGCGCGGACTGAACGACTTCTAACATTTTAGATCATAATGCAAAATTAAATACTTATATACTGATTGCCTGGGGAAGAGAAGCAATCTCTAGTGCATTTGTCCTGAAACCATAGTAGGTTTTGCTAAAACAGATTCCCAGGTTCTAGTCTCCAGGCTGTAGACAGGAGTGTTATGCCTTGGAGCAGGTTGAACTTTCTTTTTCTTTTTCTTCTTTTTTTTCTTTTTCTTTTTAAATAATCAAGAGTGCATTTTAAAGGATTGGTTGAGAGCATAATCATAGATTTATTTTTAATAAATCCTCCCATTTTTAATTTTTAAGAATTTATCTTTTAAGAGAGGGTATTGCTATGTAGCCTTGGCTAGTCTGGAACTTGCTGTGTAGACCAGACTGATCTCAAACTCAAGGAGATCTACATGCCTCTGTCTTACATGTACTTTGACTAAAGCTGTATACACAATGCCTGGATACAAATGTACTACTTCTAAAAATTTTTTTTCCTGGAAATTGTGAGGAGCAAAATATTTGACTTTTTTCTTTTCTTCCTTTTTTTCTTTTTTTTTTTCCTTCCTTTTTTTTCTTTTTCTTTTTTTTTTTTTAATATAACAGAAAAGAAATGTACGGTGGTACAACAGTAAAAGCACCCAGTGAAAAAACCTGTGGAGATGCAGCAGAGAGTCGTCAGTGCTCTGGGGTGCGGGAGGTGGGTACTCACAGAGATCGGAGGTTAAGCAACTGCTGAAAAGTGCCACCTTTAATTTCATATATCTCGTTATGCCGCAGGTCGCTGAAAAGAAAGATGTCAGAGTTAATGTTTCCAACAGACTTCAGAGAACTTTTCACAGTAGGATTCCGTGTCCTTAATCTGAGCAGCAGAGGACTGTTTTACAGGAAGTGTGACTATCTCTCAATCAAGAGAATGGTTTTTGTTTAACAAAAACATGGCGATTTTTACATTCAGATAAGGATTGCCTGTCTTTCAGAGAAGCTGGTTCCCTCGAGAGAGTATAAAACAATGCCTACACACACTGTCATTGTTCATTGAGAACAATGATGGCTTAGCAAGCATGAAGGCTCAGGTTCTGTCCCCAGCATGGCATAAACCAAATGTGAAAGTGCATGCCTATAATTCCAGGAAGTGGAAAGAGGAGGCTTGTAAATTCAAGGTCATGCTTAGCTATGAGGCCAGCCTGGGACACAGGAGACCCCTTCTCAAAAGACAAAACAGATTTCAGCTGTAAAAGTGCTTGCCACACAAGCCTGTTGACTTAAGTTTGATTCCCCCTGGTCCCTGGAATACAAGTAATGGTGGAAGGAGAGAACTCACTTCACAAAGTTGTCTTTTGATTTCTACATGTGTGGCCTTGTTCATGTACACCTGTCCTCTTTCCTCCTGCCTCTGACATGCCCAGGCATGTGTGTGTGCTCACACACTTACACACACTAAAGAACAATAAAAAAAAGGTATTTGGGGGCTGGAGAGATGGCTCAGAGGTTAAGGGCACTGACTGCTGTTCCAGAGAGGTCCTGAATTCAATTCCCAACAACCATGTGGTGGCTTATAACCATCCACAATGAGATCTGGTGGCCTTTTCTGGCACGCAGGCAGACTACTGTATACACAATGAATAAATAAATCATACCAAAAAAAATATTTGAGGACACTTTTCCCCCCACTATTTCCTAAGCCCTTATTGTACTTATTAAAGGTCTTTGGAGGTGTCAAATTTATTTTTGATTATGTGTCTGTGTGTGGGTATGTGCCTGTGAGTGCTGTTGCCTGTGGAGGCCCAAGGAGTTGGACCCCTCATGCTAGAGTTGTAAGTGGTTGAGAGCTGCTGAATGTAGGTGCTGGTCTCTGGAAGAGCACTGTGTCTTCTTAACTGCTGAGCCACCTCTCCATCCCCTCAAATCTCTACATTTTAGAAAATGGATTCATGTTTTCTTCCTTTGCCACCCAAAGGCTCTGAGAGAAAAACCATGTGATGGGCCAATGTTTTGTGGAAGAAGTAGTGTTAAAGGAGGAACTCCGACGTGCGTAAGACAAGACCACGGAACCTGAAGGCACAGATGTGTTAAGTTCTGTGGAGGTGACTCTCATGAAACAAACCCGAGTTTTGCCATATTCAAAAGTCGAGCCACCCACTGGCAGTGTGAGTCTTGTTGTATTTGAAAAAGAAAGAGAACTTAGCCCATGGAGCACACATCTATAACCGCAGCTCTTGGGAGGCAGAGATAGGAAGGCATAGGAGGAGATCAAGGCCAGCATCACCTACATAGTAAGTGTGAGGTCAGCCTGGGTTACAAGAGACCTTGACTGCATAAAAAAAAGAAAAAGCTTCCAGGCTCAGATGCACCCGATTCCTTATTACACTGAGTTGGAAAAAACAAAAGAGAAAATCGATGTCACAGCACAAGGATGAGAAAGGTACTGTTTCCAAACTCTCTGGGCAATCTCCACTCGCACACCCCACGTGTGTAAAAAGGATAAAGGCCAGGACGTTGCCTCTGAGCCACAGGGTGGAGTAGCCAATGATGCTGAAACACGTAAGTTTTGACTTTTGGTTTACTCTTGCTGAGTTACTTAGAGACTTTCAAAGACGTACATTTTCTGAAGTTTTTGGCAGCCTGACAGACTGGGTAAGTCTTTGAGCAGGTTGTAAGACAGATCTCTGAAAAGCAAAAGGTGCAAAAGAGAAAAATCTGTTACACATTCATCTTAAGGGGATGCATGTTCCTCTTCTTTTCAAAGCCCTCAAGATGTCCTGCCCCTCAAAGGCAGGCTCTGGACGGTTTTACAGCACTGACACATAGCAGGTAGATACAGGCATTATTGGATTAGGTACCAGGCTCAAATATTTACTGAAATGTAACTGCTATACTTCTTTAATTGATTTAAATAATTTACTTAATGAATTTATTTATTTTGTTAGTGATGATTTACAATGTTCTAGCTATTATCTTACTGAAATGAGTACAGATGAAATTAAATAACTGGGCCCCCGTCTCTGGAAGCTGCTATTTCTCTACTAACACAAGTCATTGCTGGTTCTTTCCTAATCAACTTAAAAACAAAACCCAACCATTCAAAACATAGCACTAACTTTGAAATCAATCACCATGAGGGGGGAAATCTAAGAGGATTCAGCCAAAACTCAACAAATTACAGAACAACAGAAACATCTGGACATATTTATACTGTAATACAACCAATCTAAAACAAGCCATGGTAATTTGCAGAAAGTTAAAAAACGAATAAAAGAAAGAAAGGAAATTGGTAGATAAGGTAACGTAGAGGTAAAAAAGTAATCTTGTCTCATGTTTTGAAAGCTATCAGCTAATCAACTAACCATTTTCATGCTTGATTCTAATTCTTAAAACCACCAAAACAACTGGAAAAAAAAGTCAGTATTATTTTCTAAGAGTCTTTTCAATTATTCTACCCTTATAATTGAACAACTTGTCCTACATTTATTGAATGAATGGGTTTTATATAAGAAGAGTTCAATTATTATATATAAATAATTCAAAGAAGCTGTCTATAAATACACATTTTAACACTATATACAAATTTGTATAAAAATATTAGATGTTTGAAAGATCATACCATTCCCTCTAAACAAACAAAAAAATAAATTCACCAAAGCAAATAAATGAAAAACCTGAACATCTATATAAGATATATCATATACCATATGTTTTGAAAAAAAGTGACTGTATAAAAATGGACACTTCTATTATCAAAGATGGTAATGATTCAACCCATTAATTTCTGCAGGATGCTCAGGGAGCCCATCGTTTCTTGTGTTCATATTGTGTAGCCCAGGCAGGTATTGAACTTGGGATCTTCCTGCCTCAGCTCCCCAGGGATTGGGATCACAGGCTGAGCCACCAGGCTGTTTTCTCATTCTCATGCATATCTTAGTAGGGAGTATGGAAGGCCTTGTACACAAGGACATAGTATTGTACTTTGTTTACATTTCACTTAATGATTTCAGGGTTAATGTGGACCATGCATTTCTTGTACAGAGGCGCCATGTTTATACCTTTACTCAAATTATTTCTGTGATCACCTTATGACAGTGACGCTGTGGGTAGCTTCCTACAGAATGGGACAACTTATGTAAGATTGTCAGCTAGTGAGTGGAAAACACACATATAGCCTCAGAGGTGGAGTAGGTGATTTCTACGAAGGTGAAGTAAGATGGGAATAATAAACACTCACAATGAAATCTCATATGTTAATGAACAGCAACACAGGATTGTAGCTCTCAGATCAATGCTTCCAGAAGACCCATAGTAGAGATCAAGGTCCAAGGTTCTAGTCTCAAAAGATCAATTTCTCTTAGTGTGCTGGCCTGAGCTCTTATTGATGCTTGTTTTGGTTTTCTTCTTAGAAGAGAAGATACCTCCATTGTGTATTTTTTTTTTTGTGGGTGGAACTTTGAAAATGACAATACGTATCAATAAGTACATACACATATTTCAGGCTCCAACAAAAAGAGATAGTATCTTCTCTGCCTGTTCACTTGCCCGAGACAGACTTATTATGTCATCCAGATTGCTCTGGAGTTTCACTGTGTCTCAAACTGGCCTCCAACTTGTGGTCCTTCTACATGACTTTCCTTACTGCTAAGACTTTAGGCATGTGCTACCACACCTCACTTAAAAAATATCTTGGAACTGGAAAGATGGCTCAGTTAGTAAAGTGACTGTGACATAAAGGCAAGGCAGGAGAATTCCTGGGGTTTGCTAGCCTATGATTCTTGCTTAGTGAGGAGACCTTGTCTCAAGGGACTAAGATGGAGGGGTTGGTGAGATGCCTCAGTCGCTAGTGTGCCCCCGAATGCACCTTAGAGAGAACTGGCTGTCACAAGTTGTCCTTTGATCTTTATACTCACATACTCCGTGGCACACATGTGCACACTTACGCCTACACAAATACATAAATGTAAAAAAAAAAAAAATAAGGTGGAGAGAGACTGAGGGAGACATCCAGTGTGGACCTCTGGCATCCATAGGCATGTGCACATATACGTGCACAGATACACACATGTAAACACCACACTCCCAAAAGAAGCACTATTTTGCTGAAAGAGTAATGACATAGGAAACGTGTGGAAGAGTCAACAATTGGTGGAGCACCTGCCACATCTTAAATTCTGCTCTAAGGGTTTGACACGTCATTATTTAATTCTTATGACGACTCTCTGAGGGAAGCAACACCTTCATTTTATCGACTGGGAAACTGAACCGCAGAGGGAAAAGGACGTGCTACTCTCTAGGGAGCTTAGACCAGGAAACCGCACTCTGAGGCCCTTGTTCCTAACTGGTTTGCCAATTGGGCTTCATTTGTTTACGTCTTCCTGGACCTGACTGTTTACTGTTTGTTCCCTACGCAGCAGAGAGGAGACAGACATGATTTAAACCCTGTCTCCAGCTACAGGATGTGAAATCCTTCTTATGGCACTGATCTGTTAGCCGTGAAAACCAGTAAGCGTACCCTCTACTAGTTCCATTAAAAAATGAAAATGCTGGACTGGAGAGGCGATTCAGTAGTTAAGAGTACTGGCTGCTCTTGGTGAGGACCAATACCTGAAGTTGTCACCTGACTCCAACATGTGTGCTGGGGCATTAGTGTGCCAACACTTATGCATGTGAACATACACACACAAGATAAAAGTGAGCAGAGCACTTGGTTGCTTTCTTGAAATGAGACTTTGATAAATGTAGCCAGGGTTCCTAGTTCCTTTGCCTGTAGCTCCTCCTCATAGGAAAATAGAAGGACAAGGCTTGCTTTTCATGCTTCCCTTCAGACATGTGCAGTGACGAAGCATCCTGTGTGCCGCCACTGCACACCAAGCCACCGAGCATCTGCAGTGACAGGGCGGCCTGAAGAACATAGGGAAGCGCAGGATCAGTCACGCGGTGGAGAGTCCCATCTTCCATAGCTTCTGCACTGTGCTGGTTCAGCTGCTAAGAGAAGCCTGTGCTGAAATGAAGCCTGGCTGTTTGTGATAGATGTTTATTCCGTAAGAGAAGAACCATTTTATAAGAGAGTGAGGGTCCTTTTAATAAGTTCTACCAATGCTTGGGAGGACAAGAGGGTTGTGTGGCGTTAAGGAAAAACAAAAACAAAAACCACAAGACAGAATGTGAAAACAAGGCTATTAAAATCCCTATAAACTACTTTTTATGATCCATAGGAGAGGCAGGGGCAATATGGGATTTGAGGCAATAGAAATAACATTCAAGCTGATTGGTTATCAGATGGAACACTTGAATTCACTCTCTATAACTGTACCAAAAAATGTTTAGTCTCTCTCTATCAAGGTTGGTGCCTGTTTGATAATTTTATTTTTGACATTAATATTGGGCTGTTGATCCATTATGCTATTTTATTTATTTTAGTCTATTTAGAAGAGGAAAGGCAGTTTTTTTTTTTTTTTTTGGCTTGTTCATATTCATTTTCTGAAGGGAAGTGCATGCCAACTACAACTCTAACAAGCAGCTGCATTTGAAAACAGAGATATGCTATCATGGCTACTAGTTTATGGCTGAGAGCCTGGCCCAAAGGAGGCAAAGGAGGAACTATGACCTTCTGGAGACCTTTGAGGAAAGAACTTTCTCCTCATTTCCAAGGCCTGTCAAGATACTGTCTGCCATTTTATCCCTAAATGGAAGTTGCCTGTTTATACAACATTATTGCTTTATGGATACGTACAGCACTTGGAGATTAGGTAACTGATCACAGACGGTTTGGGGAAGAGATGAAATCTTTGCTCCAGTTAAAGTCCTGTTAAAACACAAACCAGACATAATTCTTTCATTCCCACATCACACACTGACATGTTTTGATTCACGGATGTTGAGGTTGATCAGCTCCAAAGTTAATGCATGCTCTGGGAGAAGCTGAGGGTCTATTCAGATACTCACAGACTCTCCAGGTTGGCAGTTCCAGTTAAGTCAGGAAATTCAGTAATTTGTGAGGCACCATTCAAAGTCCTAGGAGAAATAAGTAAGTGTTATTTGGAGACGATTCTAGAAATGGGTCATTTTTACTACCTTGTTTTTTAAAAAGTACTTTAAGCTGTAGCATTCATTTGGTTTTTGCAATAATACTACAGGCTGGATGGTGGTGACATTTAAGAGAAATAGACACTTACAGTGTTCTTAGTTCAGGTAAATGTTGAAAAGCAGATATTCCAACAAATTGGATGGGATTGTCATAGAAATGTCTGAAAAATCCAAACACCAATGTGTTATAAGAAAGCTGATTGTCAAGAAAATATATGTTTCAACAAGTATACTAAAGTGCATTTGTTGCTTTTGTTGACTGTATTTATTGATCAATTCACACCCCTATTACTCATTTTCAAGTGAACAGCAAAGGTGTTTTCACTCATTTTAAGAATTTTTTTGTCATATTTATTTGTTTGTTTGTTTGTTTATGTGTGCACGCACACCAGTGCATGCCAAAGCATATGTGTGGGGCTAGGACAACTTGTGAGTTCTTTTTGTGGGTGTAAGAGGATAGAGTTTTGGATATGCCATCCCAACATCAAACTCAAGTTGTTAGGCTTGGAGGCAAGGACCTGCACCCACTGAAACCATCTCATTAGCGTGCTTTCCAAGATTTTGTGTAAGGAATCTTTACAAAATTTAAAGGGAAGACACTTTTGGGGAGGAAGAGGAGGATTTAGAACCAAGTATAATGGCGATGTGTGAAGACGCCTTGACAAAACCCATACTCTGTATGCTAATCTCCAAGAGTAATAAAAGAGAAAAAAAATCACATTTGCACAACAGGGCTGATATGAATAGTAGCAGGAAAAGTAGAAGAGCACATGAATTGACTAACTATATTTAATGACTGTCTCTGCCTCCAACACTTTGAATACTCAGTAACAAAAACTGAATATTCTATTTATCTATCTATCTGTCTGTCTGTCATCTATTTCTATATCCACAGAAAGTTTTAGTGAAGTTAAATATAATTACCATAGTCTATTTAGAAGAACTACATCTACAAAGAACTCTACATTACTAAGAAGAAATGATAAACCCTGGGTTCATTTAAGCAAGAAATTTCTTGAATGAGTTATAGCTCTAAAATGGGAGACATTATTAAACCTCAAAGAACAATTTGTTTTACGGGCATTTAAATGTAATCAAATATGTTTGAATGGCTCTGGTAGTGGAGGCCCCACACTGATTTCTTAGCTGAGGTATCGGGGTAGTTTAATTAAATAAAACAAATCCTTTTTTATTTCTGTAACTTTTATTAATTTGATAAAATTTATCATGCCTTAAAATAATTAAGTTAAATGTATGACAAAACAATTATTTTAGTGGTATTATAAAGCCCATATAACATAAAACAACACAGCGCAAAATAAGAAACAATGAGCCTCACTGAAGTTAGAGACACATGGAGAGGCCATGATAAACTGCACCTAAAAACTTTTCAATACTTCAATTTCATTAGCCAGTAAGTCTTTTCCTGTGTTGAGACTTAAGTTACTCATCTTTGAAAGCACTAAACCCTTCACTCAAACTGGCACTTTAAGGTTGTTGTTTTTTCTTTATATATATATATATATATATATATATATATATATATATATATATAT